ACAAAAAAGTTTTGCTTGATCCTCTATTTTTGTGATGACCAATTTAAGAGAACACCATGTGACTGAAATTTTATTTCCTGCTGGGAAAAATGCTGCAGACGCTGTTGTGATGTTGAACACAGCTTACAAGGACAGTGCAATGGGGAAACCCAAGTGTGCGAGTGGTTTTCTTATTTGAATAAAAGGCGGCATGTCAAGTCATGACAAACCTTGTTCTGGCTGTCCATCAACTTCCCTAATGGATGGAAATGTTGACTGCTAGTGCATTTCGAGTTTGTTCTACCAGATCAGACTGTTAATCAAGCTTTCTATTTAGAGGCTCTGAAAAGATTGCCTAACAGTTTATGACAAAAAAGGCCTGATTTGTGACAGATGGGGAACTGGTTTTGCCACCATGACAATGCACTTGCTCATACAGCCATCTCAGTGTGCCAGTGTTTGGCAAAAAAACTTCTCTTGTCCCATGCACTTTACTCTCCTGACCTTACTCTGCATGACTGCTTTCTGTTTCCATGAATGAAGAGGGACATGAAAGTACAGCGATTTGAGCGGTAGAAGAGATGAAGAAAAAAAATGAGGTAGGTGCTGTCAGCCATCCGAACAGATGAGTTTGAAACAGGTTTCCAAGAATGGAATCACAGATTTGACAAATGTATTAAGTGTAATGGAGAGTACTTTGAAGATGATAAGGTTATTTTGTAAAAAAAATTTTAAATACATAGCTTTGAAAAAAAATGACTTTTTTGGGTTGTACCCCATTATGTTTCTCCCACTCCATCTAAGACCTTCTACGGTGGCCCTAATCTAAGCAGTCTGTAGGGTAGGCAGCACCGTCTAGTCCTTCTGGTCTCCAGGTAGCAGATAGAGGCTATGTCGTCCATGAGACTCTTGGACTAGTTGTCTCCTGAGTCTTTGAGTTTCCTCCCTCGTCTTTGTTTCATATGGGCACAGGCCAATCATTGCATCTTAGACAGCCATTTGCAAGCTTTTAAGACCCAGCTACTGGGCGAGTATTCTTCAATCATTTTTGACTTCATTCACTTGACATTGTTGGATGCACTCATTTGAATGCGTAATAGTTCACTAGAATAGTAAAGGTTATTTTCTTGCATTAGCGTGAGCATAATAATTCACAAGTGGTGCCAAGTGCTAAAAGATCTAAGCCATAAAGCAGGATTAAAATGGACTGCTGGGCTTTCCTGAATAATTTTTTGGAAGAGAAGAAACATTGGAAAGGGATTTAGGGAAACATTTATTTTATTTTATTTTAGCACAAAAAGAAATGGTTTAAGTGGTGATGTTAAAACAATCCAT